ACGGAGAGTAAGCCTAATGTGTGTGTGTGTGTGTGTGTGTGTGTGTGTGTGCACATGCGTGTGCTTGCACTGGCACTGAGCTGAACTCAGAGGCTCATGCTCTCACTTGTTTTTTTCCACTTAAGGCTAGTAATCAACCACTTGAGCCACACCTGCATGTTTGGCTTTTTGATTGTTAATTGGAGATAAGAGACTTCTGGCTTTTCTGCCCAGGCCGATTTAACTTTGATCTTCAGCTCTCAGCCTCCGAGAAGCTACAGGATTACTGGTGTTGAGCCACCAGTGCCTGGCTTATGTCTTTCAAAGTAAACATTTTTTTTAGTTGATGGTTTCTGGTTACAATGTAGTAGCCACTAGCTGAGGCTGTTTAATTAATGACCCAAATTAAATAAAAGGAGGTCATTTTTTCCATCACCTCAGCCAAATCTGCAATGCTACCAGGTACATGACTGCATGTGCTAAAGGCAGAAGAGGTGAAAGAAAGGCAGTGTGCCTGGAACTCACTTGGCTCGAAGAGTTCCCCTTTGCCTGGCAAAATTCCTTTTGGAAACTGCAATTTCCTGACTGCAAGGATGTCTGGACCAGCAAGAGATAGATACTGATATAATAAGACATAAACTCTCTTACATGTGTAGAAAGATCTTTATTGGTGTTAAACCTATAACCAAATCCTCAGTAAAAGTAGATAAAGAGGAAAAAGAGGGGGTTATGTAATTGAACTTTTAATTTTTTCTGCGTGTCAGTAACTGGGGCTTGAACTCAGGGTCCCTTAGCTTAATTACTCAAGGCTGGTGCTCTACCACTTGAGCTCTACCACAGCTCTACTTCCAGCTTTTTGGTAGTTAACTAGAGACAAGAGTCTCTCAGACTTTTCTTGCCAGGCTGGTTTTGAACCGTGATCCTTAGATTTCAGTCTCTAGTGTAACTGTGGAATGAGCCACAAGTGTCGGGCTGGGTTCTATTTTTTTTTTTTTAATTTCATGTAGTCTCCTACTGCAATGTAAGGTCCATAATGTCCGGGTTGGTTTTCTTTACTGCTGTCTCTATTGTCCAGGATGGAATTTCATCACTGTAGAATCCTAATAAATGTTTACCAAATGAACGAGTGGAGCTTCCCTTAAGGGCTTTACTGAAAGAGCCAATTAGTCAATTCTGGGATGGCCAAGTCACCCTGTGTCAATTGGCCTGAGACTGTCGTGTTTGCTATAATCCAAGTCAGAACTGCTGCCAGCTGTCCGTCCATGACCCCTCAAGCATGCAATTTGTTTGGCTCTTGAGTTTAACTGATTGAGGGTGGCTGAGGAAGCAAGTGGACGGTGAGAGGTGCTATGTTATGCCAACCTGTTTGGTTTCTTGGGACACCTTCACTTTAACTGTCTTGAATGGATGGAAGAGCTACAGCTGACACATGCAACATGATGTATGTGTGCAGAGTGAAGATGGAACAGCCTCCCGGCATGCCCATGCATAACCCTCTGCTAAAAAGGGAGTCAGAGGAAAAACTGTGATGAAGTTTAACTGTCAGTGTGAACGTTGTGGAGAGAAGCTCTTTGAGAGGTATTTGGGGCATAGAAGAAGCTGTGCTCTCATAGGTGGGCCCATGTTATGGTGGGTTATGTATCAGGAGTGGCTTGTTGTGAAGGCAGCTCACCGTTTCCCCTCTTGACAGAAAATACCCTCCAACGTGTCACACGCATGCAGCAAGAAGGCCCTTCCATCTGGGACAACCAGCATTCAGGACTGGAAGAGCTAGATCTCTCTTCTAACTTATCCCAATCTGTGCTATTGTGTTACAATAGCAGAAATGAATGCAGGACCATATCTGAGTTTATGCTGATGAAGGGGCTCATGGGGACAGGGCTGGGCAGCTTGAGTGAGAGCTGATAGAAAGAAACCTAACCAGAAGGTTAGGGTCATCAGAAGACTGGATCCTCCTTCAAGCCACACCCCGTCTCACGGATCAAGGAGGGGCTGGAAATTGAGTCCAATCCTGTGGCCAATGATAAAGTCAGTCATAGCTACATAATGAAACTCAACAAAACTCTGGAACATCAGGTTTAGGGGGCTTCTGTGTTGGTAAATTGATTTGAGGGTGGTGGTAAAGAGTAGTTCACCAAATTTACAATTAACTCTATCACTTAAGGTCATTTCCTTGTAAATCCAACCATATTTCACTCTGGTAAATTAAAGCATGAAAGACACATACACTAGGGCTGGGGAATTTAGGGCTTCTTTAAAGAAGATATTCTATGATGTCCCTCCCTCCCCCTTTGATAAATCGGCTGCAGACTAGAGACTGAGCAGATTCTGTGCTGGGAAGGTTTTTAAGCTGGCTGTTTTGCAGCTCACTTCTGCAGTGAAAGGAAGGTTCTGGACCACACGGTTTACTGTTTGGGTATCTGCAACGGAAGAGCTTTCTGCTTTCATCAATGACAGGCAAGGTCCATGCTAGGAGGTCCACGTCATCCCCAGAGTCAGGCTGCATCTGCCGATCGCACTGTCTCCATCTCCACCTTCCAGCACTGGATTTGATCAACAGCCAACCAAAGACCCATGGCACTGAGTTTAATTCTGTTTCCCTGAAACATGTGTACTTCTAGACAGAGTCTGGCCTTAGAAAGACATATATGTATCATCCTTAATGGTAGGATGATGTAAACATTGATTACCACACAGTACAGAGACTGACCAGCGGCAAAGGTTTCCCTGCTAAGATTTTATTGGAAGAAATGCCTTTGGCACACCCCCATGAAGTTCAGATTCTTCCAACAGATTTACCTTCAAGATAGAAGCATGAATTTAGATCACATGAATTTCCAGAAACTAAACCCTACCTGATTCTTGGACAGGTTGAAGGCGGGTGCACTTTAAAGGAGATCTTATTACTTTTCCCAGACCTTTAGGCTCAAAATAAACAGATACACAGTAGTTTGTGTTTGGAATTAAATTGTCAATGACATAGCTGAAATTTCCACTGATGTCTCCATTTATTCGGGGTTTGTGCTGTAAAAAGAATTTAAAAAAAAATCAGTAAGACATTGGTGATAATTTGGAGTGTGTGTGTGTGTGTGTGTATTTGGTGCCAGTACTGGTGTTTGATTTCAGGTACTGTCTTTTAGCTTTTTCACACAAGACTGGTGCTCTACCACTTGAGCCACAGCTCCACTTCCAGATTTTGCTGGCTATTTGGAAATAAGTCTATTTATAGACTTTTCTGCCCAGGCTAGCTTTGGATGGGGATCCTCAGATGTCAGCCTCCTGAGTAGCTAGGATCACAGGTGAGTCACTAGCACAGGTACTTGCATGGATTTTACAGTTGGCATAGTAGTATCCTAACTATTACAGCAGGGCCCAACCATGAGTGCTATTTGTCCATTTTCATACATTCTATCCCTCTGAGGGACAGAATCAACAAGTAATGGAATAGTCTGATCTGTCTCACAGTGGGGTCGCTGGAGGATTTGGACATTCAGTGGCAGTCCTGCAGGGAGAAATGAGGAGGGGGAAGAACCATTCCTCTTGCAGTGTGAAGACTGGAGACATTTGACATGTTTGTCACTTGTGGCTCAGTGAAAGTATTCCTTTGGAGATTTCATCCTGGCTTCCTAAGATCTGCCCACCTGTGTACACAAATGCTGTCTTCCTGTGGGTCCTCTGATTTGTGCCCAGGGCCTAGTCTTTTAAAGAAGAAATGTGCTGGATGCTGGTGGCTCACGCCTGTCATCCTAGCTACTCAGGAGGCTGAGATTTGAGGATCTCCGTTCAAAGCCAGCCCAGGCAGGAAAGGTGAGATTCTTGTCTCTAATAAACCAGTCAGAAAACCGGAACTGGCACTGTGGCTCAAGTGGTAGAGTGCTAGCCTTGAGCTGAAGAGCTGAGGGACAGCACCCAGGCCCAGAGTTCAAGCTCCATGACTGACAGAAAAAAAAAAAAAAGAAGAAGAAGAAATGTGTTTCTGCAATGGACGAACTATAGAGACTTCTTTCCTAAAGTGAGACCATGTTGATGCCCAGAACTTTTTTTTTTTGGTCGGTCGTGGGGCTTGAACTCTGGGCCTGGGCGCTGTCCCTCAGCTCTTCAGCTCAAGGCAAGTGTTCTACCACTTGAGCCACAAGCGCCACTTCCAGTTTTCTAGTGGTTTATTGGAGATAAGAGTCTCAGGGAGTTTCCTGCCCAGGCTGGCTTTGAACCTCGATCCTCAGATCTCAGCCTCCTGAGTAGTTAGGATTACAGGCGTGAGCCATAGGCGCCTGGCACCCAGACCTTTCTGTCTCAATTGTTCAACTGTGCATTGATTTCTTTACCAACTCATCAGTGACCCCCAGCACAGAGACCACTTACCGTCTTCACCATTTCCTCCCAGTGTTCCTTGATGACGAGCGATAAGTGATGGGAAATATCTTTCCCATAAATCTTGGGAATGACAGGTGGAAACGTCACTATCACATTCATGTGGTCTGTAAAGCCCACAATGCCAAACTTAGGTGGCTCAAAAGACACTGTTTAGAAACAAAGTGAGAAACCAGTCTGAGTACCATCACTGTCCACCTCACAATCACGTCTCCCCCAAATCTTCTTCTTTTTTTTGGGGGGGGTCCGGTCATGGGGCCTGAACTCTGGGCCTGGGTGCTGTCCTCAGCTCTTCAGCTCAAGGCTAGTGCTCTACCACTTGAGCCACAGCGCCACTTCTGGCTTTTTTCTTTTTGC